CAGACCTGACGACATATGAGACACAGATATCCCCAGAAACTGAGCACCTCTCCAGATGTGGTAGCAAATGGCAGTGTGTGTATGTGTGTCTGTGTGCATGTGCGTGCACCTGTGTTGTGTGTGTGCTTGTGTTGTGTGTGCATATGTATGTTTGCATAGTATAAGAAAAATCTGATCACGGATGCACAGGGTCTATATAACGTATTTTGTTGTGGTTCTTGTTTTGTTTGTTGTTTATTTGTTCAAGTCTAGAACCAACTATATCCGAGTTCCAATTCTAAGTTTTACCTGTTACCATCTATAGGATGCTTACAGATTAGTAGACTCAGTCCCTCCCTATATACTGGAGATAATTGTTTCAAAAAATTATGTGAGGTGTTATGAATCAAACACAAGTAAAATATCACCATGGCTAGCACATAGAGCTTAGAACTTTATATCTATATATGCCGACATATAAAAAGACCATGAAATTCTATTCTTCTCTGCAGAAAGCCTTCAGCGTACTATTTTTTTACAAGATGTAGACAAACAAAATGTGAAAGAAGCAGCACATTTTTCTATAAGAAATTGAGTCTTCCTTGCCACATTTAAGAATAAACTTCTCTACATTTGGGGACTCATTTTTATCATAGATGACTGAGGTATCACCTCTTGATAATTAACATTAAATATTCAAAATAATAATTGGAAATGAATAGGAATCACAGCTTAAGCTTTGATACAGCAGTGGCTGCTATCAGCAAGGATCCTTTAATCTGGGTTCTAATTTCTCTAGTAATTAAGTTCCTGGAAGAAAATAAAATAACCTTTTAATTTTAATCTGACTAGAATAATAGACCTTTTGCCATGAAAAATTAAAAAGAGGATGCTCCATTTCCAAATTAATTTTGTGACGGAGATATTTTCATAGGAATTTTCTGAAAGGCTTTCTTCTTCCATTTAGAATAACCGAAGATATTTTATAAGGGTCTTTCTCTGGACGTGTGATTATTTGGGATTGGATTTGGGGACTGAACAATATCATGTTGATATCTTTGAGATTCATGTCCTAAAACTGTATTTATAGCAGGGTTTGTCAAATTATAAAAGGCAAAAATCAAAATCAAAACCATGTCATCCTATGGTTAAGCAACAATAAATCCTACTTTGTACTTTAGAAGTAAATGCCATGGTGAAGATATGGTCTTCGATGCATCACTTCCATGGGAATACCCAAAGGGACCCGCTTGAGATGGAACTATTTCAGTAAACACTGCTGCTTGGCTGACAGCTAACCTCAGAAATAACCCTTTGCATGCATAGAGTCATTTTATAGTACAAGAGATTTTATTTTGTGTTTTTCAGAATATTTGAAAGATAAGAAGTAACCTAATTATTGTTTTCTCAATTTTTGTACGGACAGGAAAAATAAAACTCTGGGATTCAATGACTGAAGGTATTCTTGTCAGAAACAGAACTTGGACTTAAATCTTGCCTTTTTCTTTTTGCAGTGAGGAACTATCTTATAAAGTAACCTATAAGTACAAAAAGTAGACCCTGATACATGAATATGGGTGCATATGGTTTATTTGACATTGGTCCAATAAATGCAATTGGGGAGTCGGGGGGAGAGGGGAGGTGAGACAAGTCGGGGTGGAAAGCCACAAAAAAGATCTTTAATAACGAGATTGCTACTATGGGCAACTGAGTTTGAGCCCACTGGTGTCCCTCTGAGAGGCTGTCGTAATACCGTCCCTTGCACACCTAGTGTCTGGCCTATTCCTCTTTTTACATCATTGGAAGCCATTGAAATGTATGGGAGTTTTCTGCAGGTGACAGCCACGGTGGGATGAAGAGATATACTTAATTTAATTACTTTATAACAGAGCAAGGTCAATTACAAATGGGCTTAGGATAATGGAGATTTCCAGGAAGACCTACTGACATTAAATGAAACTTAACAAAAAAAAATTTATCTACTGAACTTAATCCTTACCCTTAGAGTTAGTCATATTGCACATTAGCAGTTAGAGCTGAGAACCATAGTCAGCAACTCTAGCTTGATTTTTATTGCTTTTTATGTTTCATCATTTACTTGGCCATCTAGAAACCCAGAGTGCCAGATTCCTGGTCGTGATCACTCCCTCAGATTCATTCAGTTATTCATTCACACCTACTATGTACCAGACATGGTTTTAGCTGTAGGGTTTTTAGTAGAGAATAAAACAGACAAAAGAGAGCTTATAATCAAGTGATAGAAAACATAAAATTCATAAGTATGCTAATAAATGAACATATAATAAATTTGGTAATGAGAGAAACTATAAGGAAAAATAAAGCTCAGAAAAGAAGAGACGTTGGAAGAGAGGGGAAAATGATATGTGATATAGAATAGCTAGGAAAGACCACCTCTCTGTTAAGATGACATTTGCACAGAGACCTGATGTGAAGGAGCAAAACCATGAAGATAATTCACACAAGGCATTCCAGATGGTTCACATGACACCTCCTAGTTCACCAAAAGGACTTTAGTCAGTACTTTTCGTGAGTTCAAAAAGAACAGAAAGTTGTTGTAGGGAGTAGTGTGATCCCAATTATACATTTATAAAGGTAATACCACTTTGTGGAGTGATTAGACTGTTAGTGCAAAGAGTGAAATCAGAGGAACCATTGGGGGCTATTGAAATACTCTGTATTCATCTGTTGACGGACACTTAGGTTGCTTCGGAATCTTAGCTGTCGTTAACAGTGCTGCAACAAACAGGAGTACAGATGTCTCTTCGGTGTACTTATTTCCTTCCTTCCTATTGATCCTACTACCAATCAGTAGTCGGATTGCTGGATCATATGGTAGACCAAAGATGATAGTGGGCTCATGTAGCTGTTTGCCTTATTACATCATTTATATTATGCATACTATTATACTATTTATGCTATTATATTCACTTGCATGCTAAATTTTATAATTTGGAAAGTCTTTTGCATTAATTACTTAAAGCAGAGATTTTATATTCTTGATTGAAACAAAATGTGCTCAGTAGCGGGGCATGGTGGCTCATGCCTGTAATCCCTGCACTTTGGGAGGCCGAGGCCGGTGGAACTAAAGGTCAGGAGTTCAGGACCAGCCTGACTAACACGGTGAAACCATGTCTCTACTAAAAATACATAACTAGCCAGGTGTAATCCCAGCTCCTTGGGAGGCTGAGGCAGGAGAATCACTTGAACCCAGGAGCCAGGGGTTGCAGTGAGTCGAGATCCCACAATTGCACTCCAGTCTAGGAAACAAGAGTGGAATTCCATCTCAAAACAAAACAAAACAAAACAAAAAGTGCTCAGTAAGCATTACTAAATTAAAATTTGAAAATCCTAAAAAAAAAAAAAAAACACACACTTGAGTGATTATGTGTGATAATACTTACTGTGATATGAGTAACTACTACAAACATGGGACTATCTTCTAAGCTCCAACAGCCCTTACGTTGTTCTTTAAAACAGTTTTTCTATTTCTTAGTATAAATCAACTAGTAATGTATGATTTTCCTATAAAGGAGCGCATGTAGTAAATAGCCTAGGCTTTATGAACTGTATAGTTTCCAGTGCAGCTGACTCTTGCTGTAGGGCACATGGTATGTAAATAAATGTACTTGGCTACATTCCAATAACATTTATATGGACACTAACATTTGAATTGTATATAACTTTCACATGTCACTAAACATTATTCTTCTTTTTATTTCTTTTCAACCATTTAGAAAAGTAAAAACTATTCTTAGCTCACAGGTTATAGAAAAACAGGTGGCAGCAAGCCAGATTTCAGCCACAAACTGGTTTTTCAGATTCCTGGTATAAATTATCAGGAGCTTGGAACCCTGATCTGTGCGTCATTGATTTGCTCTCATTCTATTTTTGGATACCTTTATTTGCTAGAGTTCTCTTTCTTTTGTGAAACTGAAGCACGCCCTCATGTAACTTCTACCTATGGATTCTACATTGTGCCATCTGAAGAAGAATAGCACAAAATACCCCCCAACCACCACCTTGTCATAGCACAGGCCTTCACAGAGTCCATTCTGGCCCTCTTGGTTTTCTCTGCTACTAAGTGTTAAACTCTCTCCAGAAGCTTATGTTTCCTGGACACTCTCCCCTTTTTGCTTTTTAATTGTCTGATTATTCTTCATAAAATGAACACAAACTAAAGATTTAAGCTACTGTCCACCTAATGGATAATTCAATAGAATTTTTGTTTCCAAAGATTGTTGTATCAGGCAACAATGAAGTGCCATTGCTGGGGATATGCATTCTTGGTTTATTTTGCTGTTTTATTTAAATATCATGTACTCTATTATAAAGATAACTCATTTGTAAATGATCGGATAATCCTATTATTATTTTCCATGACTATTGGTGGTCAGTTAGTACTTATAGCTGCACATACACATTATTATATAGTACTTAATTTCTATAAACTATACTCACCAAATGTGTTTATTGAGAGAGAACAAACTATACAGAAAAATAAATATTTTAAAAACACAGACAGACATTAGGTAAAAGCCATACATTCATTTTCTTGTCTGAGAATGAGATCTAGCAAAGTTAACCAGAAAATTAATTACTAAGTTAAAATAATTCATAATTCACTAAGTTAAAATAGCACATAATCATAAAATGTGTTCAGCGGCTGGGTGCGGTGGCTCACGCCTGTAATCCTAGCACTTTGGGAGGACAAGGTCGTCCAAATGACTTTTTTTCAACCCATTTCTTTCCCTAAGTACCCAGTGGTATTAATACTGCTTGTCTACTTGGTTGGGTTATATTATGCCTTATTCAGTTAGGTGGAGTATAAAACCACTTATAATGTTAAAGAGACATGAGACATCAGTTTGAATTGTAAGCAACACTGTATTTTCCTAGAGAAAAATACTTTTATTTGTACAATCCTGATTTGTTGATATTAGAAATTGTGTTCAACTAGGTAATTTTAAGAAAAGAAACAACTTTTATCTTGTACTTACCAGGTTCTGGGTTGAATGATGGACAGTGGCACGAGGTTCGCTTCCTAGCCAAGGAGAATTTTGCTATTCTCACCATCGATGGAGATGAAGCATCAGCAGTTCGAACTAATAGTCCTCTTCAGGTTAAAACTGGCGAGAAGTACTTTTTCGGAGGTAAGAATGCCATTGCTTTTTGGTTACTAATCCATTACAAAAAAAAATGAGGTTTCAAAATGAAGTTTGATTATGAAGTATTTATATTTGACTCAACTGACTCAGTAGATTTCAGGATAGAACAAACAAACTCTAAATCCATTGAGCAAAAAAAAAAAAAAAAAAAAAAAAGAAAAAAAAATTTGTTTGTTTCTGATGAAGATATTAAGGTGATGTCACTATATTCTTTTGGCCCAATTTAAATAATTGAAGTATAACAAAGGAGATTTTAAATTCATCCTCATAATCCTCAAAAGTCAGGTCCTTGGATTATTTGCTGGTGACCTATTGCTATGTAACTAATTATCCAAACCTTAGTGTCTTCAAACAAACATTTATTATCTCACAGTTTCTCTGGATCAGGAATTCAGGAGTAATTTAGCTGAGCGAGTCTTTCATGATGTTGACTTCAAACTGTTGGCTGTGGCTGCATCATTTGAAGACTTGTCTGCTTCCAACAGGTCTCACGTACGTGGCTGATAGTGCTGGCTAGGATGCCCCAGTTCTCTGTGGCCTTGGATTCTGTAACACCTTCCTTCTTCAAGTAGCCTCTCCTGGGGGTGACTGGGCAGAGAAAGAGAGAGGGAAAACAAAAGAAAGAGAGGAGGGGAGGGGAAAGCCAGTAAGTCAGGAAGTTCTCCAGATAAAAACCATAAGTAGTTTTTTTTTTTTTAATAAATAATCCAATTTAACAGTGATATCCCATCACTACTATTATTTTCAGCTTGTGAGAAGTGAGTTGCTAAATCCCATCCACAGTTAAAGGAAGGCGATTTCACAACGGCATGACTACAAAGAGCCATTGATTTCTGGGTACCATTTTAAAGGTGCCCACCACAGTCTACCTTATAGGAGAAGACATGTGGTCACAAACATCTTGGTTCTTAAGTAATGAAAAGATTAGTAAAAAGAATATTATCTTATGAGAAATTCTACTATGTGTTAAAAAGTGTTGTAGCAAAGACCTGTCATATTTTCTAACTGGAAAAATGTGTCCTGTCAGAAAATGATTTTTTTCATAACTAATAAATTATGAGGACATATTTTATTAAAGTGCTAGGCACATTGTTTAGATCAATACATCTTTTATTAGATTATTGTCTTTCCTGTCCTAAATCATGCAATGTGAGATGTAAAAAATAAATCACATTCTTAAAAAAGGCTTTTATTTAAGCTTTAAAATCTATATGTTACATATTTGCCTCTGAGAATGTTTATATTTACATATCTATTATTTGTTTATATTAATAGTTATATATCATTGTGTGTGTGTGTGTGTGTGTGTGTGTGTGTGTGTGTGTGTTCTAGTTCTTAGAGTAAGGTGACATGAGAGCAGCCACTTTGTTTATCTTGTACCCTGCTATATTCCTCAAGGTCCTAGAAAAAATCCTGGAATGTTGTAGATGAACAATAAATATTTGTGAAAGAATTAGTAAATTATATAAAATAGGCAAGACATCACTTTATTATGAATTGCCTAGAGAGGAAACAGAGAAGACCCCAGGAGATTTACTGACTTGCCACTGAATTTGCAGCTAGCACCTGGATTTAAGTTTTTGGAGTCCTATACCACGGCATTTCTCCCCATCTAATTAGTGACAACTTAGAGACAAAAATCATGAACTAGGGCTCTCCTTCTTTAATCTTCCATAATATTTGTTGGAAGTTAAGACTACGTGATTTTAAGAAGACTCTCAATAAATATTTGATGAGTAAATGAAAGTCAAACAAGCTTTCTTATGAGTGAATGAACTGGACATATTGACGTGAAAAAAAAAAACAACAGCCAAACCGATTACCCTCCAAACAAAAAATTCAGTAAGATTGGCTTATGGCCAACAGTTTTCATTGCTCTGATAGTAAATAGATCCCAGTTGTCAGTGGGAAAGCTACTGATAATCTCTACTGATCCCTTGACTGGAATATTTTTGGCCATACATGAGCTCCCTGAATGCCCAAGGCCAGTTTTTATCAATTTCAATCTAGAGGGGCGAGCAAATAGCTGTCACCACACATTCATGGCATAAAGTTTATAGGATATGAGGTCTTGATGGTGTGCTATTCACTATCAGTTTACAGATTTTCCTTTTCGAGTCCAGCAGTCAGGAGAATATCGACTTTCTCTTGGGTCTGTGGTCTGCCTTTAGGGCATATTGTCAGCTAATGATCATGAAGCTTGTTTTGTTATATTGTCATTAGCTGAATCCTGAGTGTGTAAGAATCATGAGAAGAACTCGTTGCCATTCTAACGCTCAGGCCCCACCTCTGGAACTTTGAAATTCAGGAGGATGACAAATTGAAGAATTCAAAACTTCAAGTGATTCTGATAAACACAGTCTGAGAAACAGAATTATAGATTGACCTTAGCCAATTTGCACACACACCTTTTAGATTCTTTTTGTAAAACATCGTCAGTCACTGAAAAGGTTGGGATACATGAGAATTAGCTACTCTCCTATAGCTTTGCCCCCAGGGGGCAAAGGAACGGAAGTCACAGGACAAGTTATGATGCACATAAACACATTTATTAAATGAACAAGTATTACCAAGGAAGCACAACACTGTTAACAAATGTTCTTCTGCAAGCTCAGTGAGGTCCCAGCTCTCCTTGAATAAAATGTTTTCCTGAAGCAATGACGATGAATGGTGGGATTCAGCTACACCTAGAGCTAGTGCTAGGCGACAGAAAGCCTCCTCAGCAAATAATCGCTGGCACAGGATCACTAAGTGATCCTAACTCCAGAAGCATTTCTGAGAACTCAGGTTACAGGCCTCACCAGAGTCTTTCACCATCTTAACACAAGGCTGGGTGTGTCTCTCAAAGGTGTTGTGCCAAACCACATATCTTTAGTGCCTTTAAGTTCACTATTGATATCTCCTTTCTAACATTTCATTAACATTTACATTTATGCTATCTAACAGACCGCTAATTTCACCAAAGAAAACCCAGTTTGGTATTAAGTTCATCAGAGGACTTGTTGATTCAGTGAATTAGGTTGATATGAGGAATAAATAGCAAAAAACTAAGAGTCACCCCCTCTGGGGTGGGTGTACTGTTTCTGCACTAAAACTCTTGATGCCTCTTATTTGTGGACTCCTGATCAGAAGAGGAACTGCCTCTGGATCGCAACTTTAACTAAAACACAAATGCCCACAACCCTATACCGTCTGTGCTAGAAATTTTAAAGTAGGATTCAAATATTATAATAAACACATCTTAAGATATACTAGTATAGTGGAAAGGAGAATTGACTTTGATCTAAAATACAAGCTTTGGAATCCTGCATACCTGATTTTGGATCTGGCTTTATCACTTAATTAGTGGATCCCTTAATACTGTATCTTACTTTCTTCATCTATTAAATGGCAATAGAATATGTTTTCTGAACACTGTGTGGCATAAACTTAAACCTGGGGTCTGACCCTAGGGAATGCTAAATGCTGTCTGACTTTCCAGTGCATCTTGAATCTTTCTTTTAACTCTGTGAGAGACACAGCCTCTCAAGGAACATTGGAGACTTCAGACCATTATCTATGTAATGGCCTCTCACCAACTTTGACACCACTGAAAGTGTTTCTTCCTCACAGTCACTGAAGAAAAGTACTTTTCCTGCTCACTGAAAGCCACAAGAAAAGGCTTACCTGCCGTCCTACACTCTGTTTTGTTTGTAAACCCTTAAACATGTCCGCATTTTGTTTCTTTTGAAGTTAAGTCCCGGTTGCGTAGCTTTCTTTGCAACCCAAGCTGGGTCGTTTCACACCAGTGTGCCATTTCATCTCTGTGCTTGCTCCCTGCTAATCCCAGCAAAGTTCTTAGTTCTCCTTTGTAACGTCCGTGATCAGATGATGTTCAATCACCAAGAATTCTTTTGCTTTTTTTTTTTTTTTCTTGGGAATAAGCAAAGAAAGAGATCCGTTATTTGGGATGTTTCTTCAGCAAAGTATGTTTTAGTTGCTTTAACGTGTTTTATTTTCCTCCAACTAGAATTTTTTTAGATAACACTCCATTGATGTTAATAATCCAAAGAATGTTAAACACAATAATTACATTTACCTATTGACTGTTGACGTGGTAATAAGCTTTCTGATACAGGCCGATACCCATGGTTACGAGAGAGCAGTACGATTTTTAAATTTCTAAATTTTCTTTGTTTTGGACATTTTTATTATCTCTCTTGTTTTCATTAAAAGAGAAAGGAGCTGTAGGCTGAAGAGGAGAGATAAGAAGCTTCTAGAGCCAGTCTTATTGGAAGGGGAGTTCTAAAGAACTCGGTGGGGAAGGAGGCAGGTTTTAGGAAGGTACCAAAGCAAGTGGTGAAGGCAAGATAAAAAGAGGGCAGTGGAGCTGGCCTGAGTTTGATAGGATTTGTGTTAATAAAGTTTAATAAGAGGGCACGTCTTTCCAGCTCACCAGTATATAACTGTCTTGGTCAGTTTTGGCTACTATAACAGAATACTATAGGTTGAGTGGTCTAAACACCAGAAATATGTTTTTCATGGTTCTTGAGGTTGAGAAGTCCAAGACCAAGGTATCAAGATACACACAGATTCCATGTCTACTGAGGACACATTATGAGAAGCTTCAGACAACCATTTTCTTATTGTATGTTCTCATTGGAGAAAAAGAGAGACAGAGAAAGAGAGCACACACTCTTAAGTCTCTTCTTATGAGCGCACCAATCCCATCATAGGGGTTCCACACTCATGACCTAATTAACCCCCAAAGGCCCCACTTCCTAATACCATCCCACAGGGGCTTAGGGTTTCAATATGTGAATTTTGAGGGACACAAACACATAGTCTATAACAATGGCCTTTCAATCCTCATTGAAGTAGACCATGGATTTTAAATATTAGGTTGTGCAAAAGTAATTGGGGTTTTTGCCATTGAAAGTCATGGCAAAAACGAGCTAACTAGATAGGTATGTAAACATAGATTTTTATCAAGTAGTTATGTTGTA